TGATGAGGATTGAGCCTGAAATTGTCGATGAACGTGGAGAACAGCTCCAGATTGCATGGCGCAGTAGCTAAGCTATTGGCCCCGGCGCCGGGTGTCGTGGGCTCGATTCCCACAGTCGACAAATATTCGTCTGGTTGTCTGTCCACGTGAAATGTATATTTGTAAAATATCCTTACAGCATAGAACAATGTTATACTAGAGTAAGGGCAATATTAATATATATTATATATAATAAATAATTTAATTATATAATTAATATTATATATATATAATACCCTACCAATTTTATAAATGCGAATGTAACTCTGTCTGTCTGTCTAGCTTTCTCGCCAAAACTACTGAACCGATTTAAATGAAGTTTGGTACACAGATAGTCTAGAGCCTGAGAAAGGACATAGGCTACTTTTTAATTGGAAAAACTTTAAAATATATGTATATTTTAAAGAAAGATATTTATTTAAGGGCTTCAACGTGAGAAGCCGCGGACGCAATGCTAGTAAATAATATATTTCGGAAGAGATCCTTACTATGAAATTCTTAAAATTTGTAGAAAAAGTACGAAAAGATTGTTGCCGCTGTGGGAATCGAACCCACGTGTTTGGCATTCGCGGCCTGACGCTTTAGACACTAAACTAAACGGCTGCTTGCCACATCGACGAAAATCTTAACGTCAGGCTTTTATCTAATTTGTTTTATTTTTAGAATTTGAAACAACGCTTGGCGCATCCATTGTTATATCCTTTTCAGCATACAAAACATTAAATTAACTTTGATCCCTTGGGAGAGAGGCAAAGCTCTTGTTTGGGAGGCCACTTGTGTAGACACTTTGGCTGCCTCTCATCTAAGGGGTACTTCGGTCAGGGCCGGGGCGGCATCGGAGGCAGCTGAAGTAAGTAAATGGCGCAAATATGAGTCTTTATGTTTAGATTATGTATTTGTGCCATTTGCTGTTGAAAAATTAGGTCCGTGGGGTACCCGCACATCAAAATTTTTTAATAGTTTATGTCCTAGGCTAGGTTTCTTTCTCGCTCAAAGGTTAAGCATAACTATTCTGCAAGGCTAGCTAGCGTTATTGGCACCATGCCGCGTGGATTAGGTTTATTAGATAATATGTACTTTAAGATAGATTTAACCTTGTAAATATTAGATAAACATTAAAAATTCTACAAAATTTTTATGTTTAATCTTAAGTGCAGAGTTTGGCACTATAAAAACTTTAAATTTTTGAAATTTTTGAACGTTTTTTAAGGCTTTGCCGCGGACATCACCCGTCTCGATCGTACACAACAATCACTCACCTGCCGGCGCTTGTCCGTACACGTAGTTGACAGGAGGCTCGCACGGGTTGCAGGGTCCTATCTGGACGACGCCGCCCTCTTCCGGGCAGGGGTCGCACGGCTCCGGGCAGGGGTCGCACGGCGGCACGGGGACGCAGGGGTCACACGGGGGGTAGTCGGGCTCGCAAGGGTACTGCGGTTCCGGCTCGGGCAGCGGCTGGCTCATGGCCTCGCCCAGGAGGAGAACTATCGGATGCCGAGGGTGGTAAGCGAGCTGGCGGTTCACCTGATGTTAAGTGGTAACCGCCCATGGACATTTGCAACACCCGTGGGGTTGCAGATGCGTTGCCAGTTTATAATAAAATGGGCCCCGGCTACCTCGCTTAGTAGACGAAACGCGGAAGTATAACATTTTCACTTCACGCCGGTCTTCTGTGTGGTCGTGGTAGTTCTCCGGACGGACCTGCCCATTCATGCAACAGAGAAGACTGTTGCGTGGCCCTACCATATTTTCTTTTTTTTTATTCAAAAACATTGCCCTTACTTTAGGACAACGTAATCCTGTTTTGTAAGGACGTTTTACAAACACAAATTTCACGCCGACAAACACCCAGATGCGAAACAACCATCTGTGGGTCGCACAAATAGTCGTCGCGTGTGGGAATCGAACCCCCGACCCCGACGCCGAAGCCGATACCTTGGCAACTGTTAGATTTCGTCTGGTAGTTTGGTAATTAACGCCTAAGTTACTATAATGTGAAACGCCTGCTTGTCTGCAAACTTATGGCATAAAAAGGAAAAATTTTGCAAAAGAAGAACAACACTTCGTAAGGATGGATACTGGACAGTCTATACATAGAGTAACGCCCACCCTGGTAGTGCCTTATCATTATTTTATTAGAGATAGCTATCGTGTCCGGCTGACATAAAGTAAAATATCATCCTAGACATATCCCACTGCCGGGCAAAGCCCTCCTCTGCTCAGAGGATATTAGGGCACAGTCTACCACGCGGCCCCACTGCGAATTGGCGGATTTCACAACATTTCTTCGAAATATTTTTTGGTTATTATTTCGAAAATGGGCAGGTTTCATCAAGACGTTTTCCTTCACCGCTGAACACGTGATAAGTCAGCAATTAAAATTAACAGGTTCATTGGTGCCGGCGCCGGGGATCGAACTCGGGTTGCTCGAGTATATTGAATTAAAGGCGAGCGCCCGGACAATGAGCTATCATAGCTAACATAATACATAACACTTAAACCCCAAACCGGTGGGTTCTGGCTAGCCCACCGGTTCTGCGTCAGATGAAGCTTTAATAGTCTCGGGACTGAAAGCAAAAACATCAGTTAATACAAGATACAAGATACTTAATAAATGGGAAATCAATGGATTTAAAAGATCAAGATTTTAAAATCAATTGATAAATAAACGAGTTGTGAGGTAATAAAGATTAAAAAAAAATACAACAGAATTGAGAATCTACCCCTTTTTCAAAGTCGGTTGAAAATTTATAGTTAGGAAGATTCTTCCTCATGTATTTCCTGTATTTTTAACCGACTTTAAAAAGGGGAGGTTATCAATTCGATTGGTATATGTTACTTTATTAAAATTCTCATGTAAACCTTCCTTCCTCATGGAGAAAGTGGCAAGTATTGTAAAGGAATGGTGCGATTCAGGAAATAAGGAAATTAAATATTCACCGGATAACCAAAAGATCTTGCCCCACGCCATCTCGCTGTCGTCTAAAGTGTAAGGGAATACGTTCCTATATTTATATAGAAGTGATCCGTTTGAATACCTAAAACGAACTCACGTAGATCTCAAAAGTATATCTTAACAGCAAAGGGTAAGGTCCAAATTACTTCCGTACCTATCTACCGGATAAACTTTTAACGGTTTACGGTTTCGTTATAAAATATTTTCCACTTATTCTAACTGTTTGATTGGGCTCAATAGCTTTGTGTAAATGTTTCTCTATAAAGTATAAACAGAGATAAAAAGAACTATTTGTCTTCAATATCAGTGCAAGGTTTATATTTGGTCAATTTACGTGTGACGAAAATAAAACGATAATTTAATAAAATATGATTATTTGTCGAGCACTCGCCCAAATTCTTACCATTTATTTATTTTCTTAAGGTACGATATTATTGGATACAAAGCGATCAATTTAATTAAGAAAGTAAAAAAAAAAACAATTCATAACAATTTTAGGTGAATGCATTATTAACATTATTAACATGAACTTATACCCTAATTAAAATAAATTACTGCTAACAAACATAACTAAAGTTTTAATGGCGGTAACAACTTACTATTTAATAACTGTGATGTAAACAATTGATTCAATTAATACTATTTTATGTTAAAAATTTGCAAGCTTAATGGGTCATGTACGCCTTGATGGCCATTGACCAGAAGGAAGACTATAAAAACATACTATACTCTAAAAAAGCAAAATCAAAAAAAATAATTCCTCGACATCATTCTTCTCCGTTAGTTGAATCTCATTACGAAACGTTGGTAGATTAAAAGAAAATGAATATCGATAGATGAAATGTATGTCCCTTTATGTTCATGAATAAATGATTTTGATTTTGATTTGATTTTGAAGGCGAATGATAATATTTTACACTCGGCCATCGAAGTAGAGTCAAAGTAAGTCTATATTAGTTCCGTTTCTGCTCGTTTGAGGGGTCTGTTAACATAGTACTTGTCCAAATATCAATACGGAATCTAACGAACTGCACTCGCACGTGACACAGTCGAGACGCGTCTACTTTAGTATTCACAGAATCACTACATAGTATAAAACGAAGTCCCGCTGTCTGTCTGTCCCTATACATGCTTAGATCTTTGAAACTACGCACCGGATTTTGATGCGGTTTTCTTTACTAGATAGAGTGATTCAAGAGGAAGTGTTATGTGTATAATCCATGTTAATACCTTGGCCACTGCGCCTTGATTCTTCCATTGATCAATGACTTTTTGATGAATTTTTAAGGTTATCTTTCTGCCTTTTTCCCCTTAATATTAGAATATCAACACAATTTCAAAGGTTATAAAGTAACTACTACTCACTGTGGTAGGACCACGCAACCGCGTTCGCTGTTGCACGAATGGGCAGGTCCGTCTGGGTTAGTACCACGACCTCACAGAAGACCAGCGTCTAGTAGAAGTGTTATACTTCTGCGTTTCGTCTGGTAAGTGGGGGAGCCGGGGCCCATTTTATTAGAAGGTGGCAACGCATCTGCAAATCTACGGGTGTTTCATATGTTCATGGGCTGCTGTTATCACTTAACATCAGGTGAACCGCCAGCTCGTTTGCCACTTTATCACTAACTAGCTGGTAACTGAGATGGTAACCGGCAGCTATGCGATTATCACCGGAAGTGACAACCGATACGCCTCTAGCAAGAAATGTAACGAAATCTAATATATAAAATTCTCGTGTCACGGTGTTTGTAATTGAACTCCTCCGAAACGGCTCGACCGATTTTTGTAAAATTTTGTGTTCGTATCGGCCAGGGTGGGGAATCCGTCAAAATCTATTTTTCATCCCCCTAAATGTTAAGGGTGGTCCACCAGAAACATTTTTTTCTACCCTACAAATAATTTATATGGCAAAACAGCTTTTGCCGGGTCAGTTAGTCTAACTATATTAGTTTGCAAACCACTTTCAGAGACACAAAATATTAAGAATATTATGGAAAATATGGGAGATTAGCTTTTCTTTACGTGGATGATGTCTGGCGGTTCACCAGATGTTAAGCGATAACCGCCATCCATGGACATTTGCAACACCCGTAGGGTTGCAGATGCGGTGCCACATTTGAATAAGGTGGGCTTCCTCACTCACCAGACGAATAGCCGAAGTATAACATTTCCACTTCCGCTCTTCTGTGAGGTCGTGGTAATTAACCGGATGGAGCTGCCCATTCGTGCAACATTGAAGACTGTTGCGTGTGCTTACCAAAGTTAACAATGCAACAAGTAAAACCTATGTTTCGCCACAGATATCTTACGAGCAGGTTATCGGTAAAAACCGATATATTAATGATTCTGCGATGCATATATTGTAAGCTATTTTTAAAACGACCCGGCCTACTTTTGGCTTGTATCTCATCTGCTAGTATGTTGTAGGCTTAACTTTGCGTTTGAAGACACTTGTGATATAAAAAAGGCATTGCTAAATATGCAAAAATCGAAGTCGATAAGAAATCGGGAATTTCGCACTGTGAGGATGTCGACTTCTAAGCTTAATGGCTAAACCCTCTGGATGGGTAATTCAGCACAGGTTCTGATCCTGGCAGTGTCGAAAAGCTTGCGACAGTTTTATCGACACATTTTCAAGTTTGATACTGCGCGCATATACTAGAAATAATAGTTAAAAATCAATACTAAAAACCTATTCATTACGATTCAATGGAAAACAGATACTTTATTCGATTCGGTTAGCGCTTGAGTAAGACAACTGTTACCTCTTTTTTACCCCCGCAACAATCCGTAAATCGTAGACACCGAATGCAACGGGAAAGGGAGTCCCTTTCATACTATTCCAGGGTCATTAAATATTCCACCATCGTCTTAATGTGCCATTACTATGATAAACGGCGCGAGACCGGATATCTATATTGTCACTCGTGTACTCAAGAGTACTTAGTCATGTTACGGGAGCGTTTGTTATAAGTGCCCGGAAAATCATGTGCATTGCGACAAATAAATGTAGGTTTCTTTTTATGTGAATATATTTATACAAGAGACATTTTCATTGACTCAATTTTAACGTTGTAACGAATTCGAGTGAAAGAGCTTCCTATTGTCTTTTTTTATGTGAAAAGTTGCCAAGCGAGCAGACGGTTCACCTGATGTTAAGTGAATACCGCCGCCCATGGACATCTACCACACTCGAGGGTTGCAGATGCGTTGACAACCTTTAGAATATTGGGCTCCGGCCACCTCACTCACCAGGCGAAACGCGAAAGTATTATACTTCCACTTTACGCCGGTCTTCTGTGAGGTCGTGGTGCTTACCCGGACGAGCCTGCCCATTCGTGCAACAGCCAAGACTGCTGCGTGGCAAGCCTGCTTCAAGATTTGAAGCATTGCTTCAAATGCTAAATAAGAATGTAGAAAGAAGGCGTTAAGATTTTCGTCGTTGTGGCTATCAGCCGTTTAGCTCAGTGGCTAGAGCGTCAGGCCGCGAATGCCGAAGACGTGGGTT